ACAGTAGTCCATCACAAGAGCGAGCTTGGAGCGGCGTCTACTTTACAACACACACAGGGACCATGGGGAACAAAAGTAGCCACCTTCCAGAAGGAAGGACAGTGTCAGCACTAATTCAGAGAGGATTTGAGGATCTACAGCCGAGTGATACACAAATAAGATACATTTATGTTAATAGTTAAGGGACTTGAATGCATTTTTAAGATTTAACTCCTGAGTTTGGTGTCACTTTAAAGTATTGCCACCAAGATTGCAACAATATTAGACATGCGAGTGGTGGTAGCTCACACAGTGCCACAAATCTGTGAGATCTAATCCTGCTTAAGGCCCCATTCACACTGAGCGATTTATGGAGCGATTTTGGCAGCGATATCGCTCATATTTCCGCACTACATCGCTCTATGTAGCTTCACCAATACATTTCAATGTAGCTGTTCACATCTAGTCGCTCAATATCGCTCAATATCGCTCAATATCGCTTGTAGCTCGTCGCTGGTAGCTTGTCGCTCCTACATGACCCTTTTTTAGAGCGATTTTGAGCGATATTGCTCCTGATTGCATACAGCCCAATAGGAAGATGTCGCGCGACACGTCGCTCAATGTCGCTCAAAGTCGCGCCATTTCCATGTCGCTCAGTGTGAATGGGGTCTTAAAGCCAAATATTTTTTAGTTTTGGATGAAGCAGAGAATTTATTTTTTTTAGTTTTTTTTATTGCTGTTTTTGTAATAAATTTTAAAACAACAGCCAAACAGTATGACATAGTTATTTCATGTTTCTCAATAGTAGGAGTGTTAGAGCAATAAAGTGTTATTTCAGGTATGAAAACAGGGTGTTATAGATATGAATTGGTCAAACTTTACATTCGTAAATAAGTGAACCAAATGGCAGGAGAGGAAAAAGCAGGAAGAGATTAGAGGTATAGTGGGAGGTCAGTTGCAATTTCTGAAATTATTAGGTCTGTCTCTGCATATAATGTATCCAAGGGTCCGAGATGCTCTCAAATTTGTCTTGTCTGTCCTTTAATATGCTGTCCAGTTTTGCATGTGATTTTAGTCTTAACAAGGTGAGGAAGACTTTTGAAAGTCTTTTAAGCTCTTGCTGTAAAGATTTTTACTGCCAGAAATAAAAAGATTCATATTTGAGAGCATCGTAGGATGCCAGGGATAGGTTTGAGAAGATGTGCCGTGCAGGGAATCGCCTTGACACATAGCCCTTGGCCTTTTATAGACGTATATAGCGTTTTCCTAACTGTATTCTAGTCAGGACAGTCCCACCAGGTATGGAACAATGTACCTTGGAGTCCCCATCCTCTAAAGCAGAAACATGATTAGTCTGGAAACATTATCAGGAGGCATGACATGACAAGGTACCATCTGGAAAGGAACTTAAAGTTGGCTTTGACGATAAAGACGTTGATTATCCCCCGAAATGCCCTTGAGCCGTTTATATCATGCATTTATATAGATCATCTCACAGAGGTTGGTCTCCCAAGCTGTCATACAGTATAAGATAGTTTGGTGGAGTTTACCAAAAGTAGCTAGTGGTTTAAAAGAAAAGTGGGTTAAAACAAAGTTGCTAACCTATCAGCTAGAATTTTAGGTAGGAGTCATTATTAATGAGGGAGACAGGCCTATAGTTTGCTACATCACTATTGTTTTTGCTAGGTTTGGGTATAAAACTAATGTATGCTTTATTCAAGTCAGGGTCCAGAGGAGTACCTTTCCTAATTGTATTTAAAAACCAAGTGGGGATTAAGGAGGCCAGCAAATTTATTATAGTATGTGGAAGAGAAGCCATCCGGTATATTTAACTTGTTTAAGCCCTTAGTGACACAGCTTCAGAAATGTTTTCCATTTTTGTTATTTAATCATCATTTCCATCTTCCACATTCATTGCACCTGCACATATTATATACCGTTTTTTTAAAGGACAAAATGGGCTTTCATTTGATGTGACATATGCATATAGAAATTCTTAGTTTTATAGAGAAATACAAAGAAAATGCAAAAAAAATACATAATTAGTTTAGCTAACAGAATATATTTCATAATAAATAATGTTATTTGTCCTGATGTATAGGGTATATCATGTATCTGGGATTTCAGTTTATTTTGGGAGTTATAGGTCACAAAATACAAGGAGTGAAATACAATTTTAGAATGTGGTACGTTTGTCTCCTATATTCAACAGGCACTATATTTTCTTATGTTTTTATTAAATGTATTCTTGTAGGGCCTGTTCACATGAGATCAGGTCCTGATCAGCAGATGTGGAGCTGCTGATGCATTGCGTTTTTGGCCGCGTTTTTGATGCGTTCCAGCGAAAAAAAAAAAACATTTTTTGCTGGAGTGGGGCTGTTAGTATGTTAGCTGCAGCGCAGTGCGTTTTTGACGCGTTTGAGTATCCGGACCGTTTCCAGACCTGACAAAATGTGACATGCAGTATTTTTTCTGTCGTAACCTGAACGGACTGCGCACGTGAGAACTGGAGCCCATAAAACACATAGGGATACATTGGGATGCATTTTGAGTGCAGCAGCGTACGAAGCCGGTCAGCACACAAAACGGACATCGTGTGAACAGGCCCTTAAAACGTTTTAACATTTTTCTTTCTTTTAAACATTTTTTAAAACTTTATATACTTTTTTTTAATTGTATTTTTTTTAAACTAGGGGACACTAAGGGCTTATTTTTTTGTAGAGGGACTTTGATCATTGAAGTTAAGGTAATTGCTAATATGATCCTGAATTTCACAGCATATAATAAGATCGCTCAATATAGTGTCATTCAGTCTCCAGTGACCACTGAGATGTCCACAGAGAAGCTGGGTGATCTTTATAGAGATAGTAGAATGATGTGACTATAATTGTAGCCTTGGAGAAAAAAAAAAAAAAAAAAAAAAAAAAAAAACAGCTGATCAGTCCTAGAATAGGTGGACATGGGAATAGTGAGTAAAGTCCCTTGTAGCTAGATTTAATTCTCGCTATAGGACAATAAGGTCCACCGAGTAATTTGGCGAGTTTAGTTTCCAACTTATGGGGTGTTTGAGGCAAACCTTAGTGGTCAAGTCTTAGCCTGCTTGTAGATCTAAAGGTAAATAAATCTTACCCACACACAGAAGAGAGCTCCTTTCATGTTATGTAAAGGAAGCTAAATTGTGTTTTGAAGAATGTCACTTGAGGATTGTTAGGGACATAATAAAAAAAATATATAAATTATTTTATTAACAAAACACAATACAACCGTCGACACTAGGTTTGGAGCAAGATCCGGAGTGAAGTAGGGTTGCATGTCAGCTTCAGACAGCCTGCACTGACTCTGATATGACATTGTCCAAATAGGACGAGTGTTGAGGTTGCTGCCCCGAAAGCAAATAGGTGGACGAGGAGTAGCAGAAGCATCCTTTAAGATACTAAAGTCCAGAGTAGAAAGTGTGGAGGGTCTACTGGTGCCAATGCACAGGAGAGAAGGTCTCTGAGGATAGTAGATGCAATGCCCAGACCCATGTGCCTGGTAAAGTGCTGCAAATAGAGTTGGTGAGATGGGGAAGGGATGTGGCATAGCAAAGCTAAGGCATGTTCATACTGTGCACCTGAGACTTTGGGTCTCACGGTAGTAGATTTGTAAATTATTAACATTGCCCATTTCCAGATCACTTAAAAGCAAAAGTGTGGGCATTTTCAGGTGACTGCATGCATTTTCATGTTTGCAGAGAACTCCAGTAACCTGAAACCCTGGAGTACTCTCAAAAAGAAAATGCTACCAGAGTGTGCATGGTAGCAATGTAACACCTCTCCTTAGCACAATCTGTGGCTTCCTATAGGCTAGCAATGTGATGAAAACCCTCACTGGCCAACAGAAGGCTAAGTGGTGGCATACATGGCAAGCAAGAATTTTTTTTTGTGGGGCAACTCAGAAAAATGCAAGCAAGAACCTGGAGGTGCCTGCCACCCAGAAGAGGAGCCAGTTTACATTTCCTAAAACCACCCCACAGGTTCACTTTAACGCTGTCCCTGCCACCGCCATAAGGCATACGCCAGCTCAGTATGCCTTACGGCGGTGGCATTTACAGTTCTGCTATAAGCTCATGGGTGCACACTGTGATGTTGGGGAACATTACAGCTGATCGGTCCTGAAATGTCACTTCTATCCGACTTTGAGTGCAATCTCACATTCCAGTGCACTCACAAAGTCGGGTAGAAGTGACATTTCAGGACTGATCAGCTGTTCCAGGGCAGATCAGTTCTCCTGCACATACGATTTGCGATGCCGATCTGCCCTGGAACAGTTGACAAAGCGTTGGAATGCTTCCCCTATTGGCGGTCACACATTCCACCACCAAAAAACTGGGTGGGATTACCTTAAAACGTGTGACCAGTCACAAACTTTGATAGAACACTGCCATCAGGGGGGTACAGCCAGTACCCATGTGAGGCGTCTGGGGAGCCCCTTACATGGGTGTCAGCTGTACCAGGGGCGACATGGCAGAGGTGACTGGAAGGGGGTGGAGGAGGCCAGGCCCCAGCAGGTAAGAGTTGGGAGGAAGTACAGGGAAAGGGCCAGCCCACCTGAGACCATGCAGAGCCCACCATAGAGTCTCAGATGGGCTGTGCAGGATCTATGGTGTGCTCTGCAGGTTCACTCTCAGGTGGGCTCTGCAGGGTCTCAAGTAAGCCCAGAGTCCAGTGCGTTACTAAGCCCAGTGCATACTGTGACATTAGAGACCGCCAGGGGGGTTGGGGGGCCAGTGTGATCCGCTATGCCCCCCCCCTTTTGGGAGAGGGCCCCCCCAAGATAAAATCTTACACCAGGGCCGTGTTCATTAGGTCCGCCATGGGTGGTAGTCCACATCATTCTAGCATGACAGGTCCATATTTGGTTCCATCTGCTGGTGAGGTCTAGCGCTGTTACACAGTCATAAGTAAATTCTCATAATCCTCAGGTTTAATAAGCCAAATTAGCATTGCACATCATATACCATTACCAGTTTTTTATTTTTAATTGTTTAATATTATCCATCAATCCGTATTTTAATTAAACATTATTGACCAAGGAATTAACAGGGAGGAAGTCAGTGCATGATTTAAAACAAAATCAAAAGAAAGGCAAAATGGTGGGGGATTCCCTGGTATAAATATTGAAACCACATTTTATTCATCCTGAGTACCCGCAACGAGAGGTCCATTTCACATGGACGTAAACTGCGACACAGCACCACCAGGTCTAGCGAGCACATTCCATTGTGTTTTACGCAGTTTAGAAAAGAAAAGGGTGATGATACAGTTGATATCCATGCAACAGAGTTTATGATGACCTTCAAACTCCAGTGCTTAAGAAAAAAAAAAATCCTGGACCATCAGACTTTCAGCAGCTTAGGAATGTGTTCTCAAGCCTGTTTGGGCTTCCAAGAAACTCTTTGGACCAGTTTGTAAAGAACTCCAAAGTTCTGAAAAGAGAAAAAAACGTTAGTTTAACAATTTCTGTTTACATTTGGGTATCTAATGAAAAGTATAACTGTGGTTGTTAAACTGGCATGTTAAAGTCCATTTCCACCTTTGTAAGTGATTAGCATGTATTGTGGTAATGAAGAGGCGCAGTGATGATGTATATGTGTGCACAATTTTCATGACTCACATTGCAGGATGTCTTCATTTTTTTAATGAAGTTTTTATTAGGCTTAAAGCCTATAAATTCATCATTTTCTTCACAGGAAATTCACCAGGGTGCCTGCACAGCACAGAGACAACCATTTCCAGGAGGATATGAAGAGGTAAGGTAACAAAAAATGTAAGTTCCTCTTTTCATATACATCAATTGCATATACCTGTTTCATGTACACTGCTGGCATATGTTTCATTAAAACAAATACCTCTGTAAAAGTGGATATGAGGTTTAAAATCAAATACAGGTGCTCTCAAGTATCTGCGTGTAACTCTCTGTACTGCACTCCAGCAGCCTTGAATCCGGGACATCTCAATATGGAAAAAAAAATTCCAAAAAAGTTGAAGCAGACTCACACAATCTCAATACCTAAAGCAACAACTTTCTGTAATGTGTATAGTTTATAATCTAAGGATGCAATCAAGGCTCCACAGTATAAAAGGATAGTAGGTACAGTGTGGTAATTATTCAATTTCAACATCCTTTGTCAAGTACTCCATCATTCTGAATGACAGCTAACAGCATTCTGATGCCCCGTGTGCTGCATCATTGCGTACAGCTAGACCTACCACCACTGTAAACCCAACCTGCTCCAGTCAAATCTCTTCCATTAAGATGATCATTTGCCTGAAAATTGGAGTTGTTTTTGTGAATTTTTAAACTGCTGGCAGACCTTACTTTGAGCAGTTCTGTCTATCCATTATTGTCTATGTGAAATATTCATCTTAATCTATATTAAGCTCTGTCGTCAACGGTGTCCAATATCTGTGACACATTTGGTGTATGTTAAGGAGTACCCCCCCTTGGCTTGTAGCCTCATGCAATTGAATGATAAACTAAATTTCAGTGAATCCCAACATCTTTAAAATTTACTACGGGAGTATTAACCTATATAGTCATTTGCCACAGAATGAAGTCATACCATACCTGAACTGCAAAATAAGAAAGGCCAAGGTATGCTGCAATGCAAACAGCTAAGAGGAGATCAAATATTGCTGGCTTCACCCTGAAAAAGGTAGAATTCATTAGTTACTGCTGGATTTCTGATATGGTAATACAATGCTTAAATATTTCAAAGACCCCATGTCCCAATCAGGCATAAAATGGGTTAAGTAAACACTACATGTCTGACTTTACTTTGAAATGAAATACAAAAACTATCAAAAGGATTACTTATTAAAAAAAACAAGAACCCACATAGGCTTGATGGATGTTGATATCAACTATAAACCACCTAAAGTACTAGTTACTAAAAACAAGAACCCAAAACATATATTTAAATTATAACAAGTGGCTCACCGGTATGCATTCATGGTTTGCTTCAGCTGGTCATAGAACACAAATTCAGGGTCTCTGCCAACAAAATAATAAAAGACTAATTATTTGCAGCATATGCATTACTTCTTAATTACACAGAATAAGTCATTTCATAACATGAGATAGTATGCAGAGAGCTGTGTGGGGTCTAAATCATTATCTGACATACTATATAGGTATGTGGTAGCACCTCCCTAACAATCAGTGCGTCTCAGTAACCCACGACTTATACTTTATGTGATGACAGGTTTACTATAAAAATAATACATCAGCATGAAGTGGTCTTCTGCCAACAAACTACCTATCAAAACAGCAGTGAAGCTTCTATTCATTATTATCTTGTACAACTGCAAACACACCAGTTCCCCCAGACATTCAGAGAATAGATCAATTCAGATAATCATACTCCTTACCTTTTGTCAGCTTTCACATGATAAAGTTTCACATCCTTCAAGTATCTGCTCATGTAATACTCCAGAGTGCTGATTACAGTGCTGTCTTTATCTACTAGCTGTGCAGCCCGGGGCTGGATGGTCAACCACTGCATCAGTGCATCTAGCTCTTCCTTCTGGACTTGCTGCAAGGGAAATGCAAACAACTATCTATTGACATTAAATCAAGTTACATTGCATTCATTATTTGTTCATTTTAAAATTATACTCGGCATACATTTTGCTGAATGTATACAAGCAAATAATGCTGCTTCTCCAATAATCTAAAGTGTGAGCCTTGTCCGTGAGCCTTTGTTTCTGCGAGTACCAATTCAGCAGGCAGTTTTTCTTTTGCTCCCTCCCAACACAATATAACAAGCTGCAGACAGAAGACTGATAACATATGTTACCTATATCTCTGCCAATTTTGTAACTGGAACACACATGCTGGCAGGCTAAGTCAAGTTCTACCTTTTGTATACAGTCAAAAAGTAAAAGCCCAAGACAGCATATTGAAAATAAGGTCCAACGCTGCCCAATGCAGCGACAAGGCAATCTACATTATGTCCAATCAGTTCAGTTAACATCAACATGCTGCAACTAGCAACTGACTAGATTTACATTAGCTACAGCAAGATCCGCCACTCCGTTTGGTTTAATAAGGGTTTCTTCAGTTCATATACAGCTAGATTTATTGCTGCACTTGTATGAATGTGAGTTACGTTACAAGTCCATATCAATAGGTGAAATGCAAATTCAGCATCAGAATAGACTACCATTGTGGACCGCCTTCTGAAAATTATTTTTGCCTTGTGGTCTCTGGCTTCAATAACTGCTGATCAGTTTACTTGATCCAGGTCCATGACACAAAGTATTGGAACCCCAGGATAGGCCCACAGCTATGCATTTAGCAAATAAAAAAACAATAGCAATGGCAGCCCCCATATGGGAGGTTTCCTTCAAATAAATGATTATCCTTCAATATCGATGATGTTATACACTATGCTTAGTTAAATTGGTAAGTCAGTCTGCTTTTATGACACAGATAGACATTCAATCGCTCCAATAATAAGCTGTGCTTGAACCTCTTACCATCTGCTGTGAAAAAATCTGTAGGTCAGCTGGGGCACCCTGTAACAAACCAAAAATAATTAAATATGATTAAATAGCCTACATGGGTAATGCACAAAAGCAGTGAAGGTTTATAAACAGCATACCTTGTCTGTTAGATTATAAATGACTCGGGTTAAAGCCTCAGCCATAATACGCGTGTTACGCGCTAAGACATCTGTGTCTACTTTCCACCTATAAAGCAAACAAGCCAATGTATTAAAAAATAAAGCAGTAGATTTAATAAAATAAAACTTTTCTTTTGTTACAAATAGGAAAACACCTTTACTGTGCTCATGTTATTGTAGATCAATATAATTTGTGCATTTTAAACCTGCGTGACGGGAGGTGTACACTGTACGTCCCCGCCACTAAGTGCCCAAATGACTGATCAGGTACACTGTACGGCCCCGCCGCTAAGTGCCCAAATGACCGGTCACGTACACTGTACGCCCTCGCCACTAAGTGCCCAAATGACCGATCACGTACACTGTACATGAGCAGCTATTTAGGCATCTGTAATGTTGGTAACTGCTGAGAATCAGAGGCAGCCGTTCATTAATGAATGCCTCAGTATTGAGACATCCGTTAATGAAAGAGTGAAGCTTTTTCAGACACCCGATCCCTTGCTGTCACTGTTTGATAGCTGGCACAGATCGGGATTAGGATATCCCCCTGTGTACTGGCTTTCTTCTAAATATTTCAGAATAGAAACATGCTGTCAGCATCAGTGTCACTAAGGTTATTATTGGCTGTTCCAAAGTTTGGAGCAGCCTAATAATAACCAAATATTTATTAAATTATCAAGCAGTCATAGTGAAATTCATTCACAGCGAGTGCTTGATACAATAAAAAATAAAAAATGTTTTAATAGTGGAACGTGTAAAAAAATAAAAATTATACATTTAAATATATTTTTAAACCATCATAAAAATTAACCCCTGACAATGAAATTCTGCAGCTGAGCTGCAGATTTGTTTTTCACCCTAAAATTTTTTTTTTTTTTAAACCCCCCATTGACAACGATGTTTAAAGTATGTTGCGGTCACCAAGTGTGACACTTTGTGACAGTGACATTGCCAGGTGACCACCATTGGCTTTTAGAGAAAATAAAATTAAAATGTTAGCTTTTAGCCGAAAAGAACAGAAACATTTCTAAAATCCTAGGGAGGCGAGGTGTTTCCAAATACAGGACAAATACATGAATTTATTTTAATGCATTTTTTTAGCTGTGCCATTTTTCGAAAAAATAATCAAAACTGGGGGGAAAAAAAAGTGTTTTCTTTACATTTGTTTCCTCATTTTGTGGCTTTTCCTCAAGTGAGGCGTTAGGCACACATATGTGATATAATCATATTGTCTTATCTGTCCTCTAAAAAACAATATATAATATGTGTGGGTGCACTTAGTAAGAACGTATATTACTGACGGGGAAGAATCACACAGCAAAAATGTAAAAAGTGCTTCAGTCATTATCGAACAGAAACGAAAAACAAAGCTCAGTCATGAAGGGGTTAAACCCAACCACAACAGTAATACTAATAGCAGCAACGTACCATTTCTTAGATTTGGATGCATTAGTTTTCTATTTCTAGTGCTTTTCTTCTCTCTCATTTACTTCTTTTCTAGTATCCTACCAGTAACACAGTTCCTATCCTAGAGTGACAATGCTCACTCACTGTACTCTATGGAGCAGCAGCTTTGTCACCCTAGGATAGAACTATAGACCACCCCCCTTATTCTCCTTAACATAGGGGGAGGTGTTGTAGGCCACATAGATAACTGAGAACAGTGTAATTGATAAGAGTCAGCACAGGAAGAGTAATTCACTGGAATATTTATCATACCAAAAGGAAGTAAATAAGAGAAGCTCATTGTTAGGGTTTACATACACGTTAAGTAACTGACAATGAACACTTTGAAAGATATATAGTATGCTACCATATGACAAGAATGCACACACGTCCCCCTTGTATACAAAGTTACATTTGTTTTCCACACATATGTTGGGGTTCATCTTGCCTGAGATCCAGCACACTGTTTCGATGGCCACTGCGATGTCCATCTAGGTGAGAGATGGTGAAAGAGGGAAGTCTTCGGATAGCAAAACGCTCATGCTCCCAGGCCAAAGTATCTTCAGCCAGGTTGATCTTCTTATGAACCATGGAAAACTTCACTTCAGGGAACTGATTGGAGATGATCTTTACAAAAAAAGATGTAGAGAAAAAATAAAACACTCCGGCAAGGCTGGAATAACAACCCTTTTAAACAGTTTACACACTCCCAGTTCCCCACACTCTTGTTGCCAACAATAACTAATCATTCTCTTCCTTGAATTTTCAGACCTGTACAGGAAAACAACCATAGGCAGAATAGTAGATACGGGCAGAAGGTATACTTTTTTTCCCAACAAGTTTAGAGGTCCACTTGTTTTGAATTTTAGTAATTTACCATTTCCAGCTCATTGAGGAAAGTATGCTGCAAGGTGCCCTCTTTGGGAGGCTTGGAAACATGGAGGTGCAAACTGTTTCCACTTCCAACTGTATCCAGACAAAGTACAAAGGCCACATTGTCTTGAAGTAGGCTAGAATCTAAAAATATATGTAGAATTAGAAGTGTTAGGACTAACAAAACGTTTAACACACAGTCCCAAGACCCCCTCCCACACCCATACATCAAAACGTAAGTGGAAGGGACAAGTAACGGATAATGAACATTGCAGAAATAGGCTGCCACAATATACCAGTTTAGATAAATCATTTTGATTTTACATAGTATTTGAGGTTGAAGACAGACACAGGTCCATCAACTTCAACCTTTGTGTGTCTGTGCGTGTTTGTGCATGTGTATGTGTGATTTTAATAGTGTTTTTTCAAACACATACAGCCAAAACACATACAGTGCCTTGCAAAAGTATTCACCCCCTGTTTTTCTAATGTAATTAAAATGAAGGGGGGCTGTTGTACCATATGATGTACACAACATGCCTACCACTTAGTAGGTGCAAAATAATTTTTCTTGTGACACGAACAATTAAAGACAAAATACTTAAAATTCTTGAGTGTTCATATGCTTTGCCCTTCCTCCTTTTGCTATGCAACCCCTAAAAAATGAAGTGGGCCAACTAATTAACTTCAAGAAGTCCCATAATCAGTTGATAAAGGTACACCTGTGTGCAATCAAAGTGTCACATGATGTCAGTAGAAATATACCTGTTCTCAAAGGTCCTTAAGTCTGCAACACCACTAAAAAGCAACACAAAGACTAAGGAGCTCTCCAAACAGGTCAGAGACAAAGTTGTGAAGAAGTATAGATCAGGGTTGAGTTATGAAAAAAATATGTCAGAAACTTTGAACATCCCACGGAGCACAAATAAATCCATTATAAAAAAAAAAAATGGAAAGAATATGGCACCACAAACAACCTGCCAAGAGAGAGGGCCACCCACCAAAACTCACAGACCAGGCAACAAGGACATTAACCTGAGATGGAACAAAAACCCCTAAGACAACCCTGAAGAAGCTACAAAAGATCCACAGCAGAGATGGGAGTATCTGTCCATAGGACCACTTTATGCCATACACTTCACAGAGTGGGACTTTATGGACTCGTGGCCAGAAAAAAAACATTGCTAAAAGAACAACAAAAAGAATACTCTTTTGGAGTTCTCCAAACGCATGTGACAGACTCCCCAGACACATTGAAGTAGGTTCTCTGATTATGTGGGGAACAAACTGGTTCTCTGATAATGTGGGGAACAAACCCAAACACTTCCCATCACCCCAAGAACACCATCATGCTGCCGGGATGTTTTTCATCAGCAGGGACTGGAAAACTGGCCAGGATTGAAGGAACAATGGATGGCACCAATACAGGGAAATTCTTGAGGGAAACCCGTTTCAGTCTGCCAGAGATTTGAGACTGGGACGGAGGTTCACCTTCCAGCAGGACATTGCCCTTAACATACTGCTAAAGCAACACTGAGGAGGCTGGAGCAGTTTTGGCCTAAAGAACAGACATAAATCCCAGTGGCTAGATGTGCTAAGCAAATAAAGACGTACCCCCAAGAGACTTTCAGCTGCAATTGCAGCAAATAGTGGCTCTGCAAAGTATTGTTCTTTGGGGGGGTGAACACTTATTCACACTCAAGATTTCAGGGGTTTTTTTGTTCTTAATTAGGGTTTGGGTCAATAAAAAAATATTTTGCCCCTACAAAGTCATCCACAAAATCAATTTTAATTTAGGTTTTAATGCAATAAAACAGGAAAAACACCAAGGGGGGGGGGGGGGGGGATATTTCACAATGCACTGTACAACCTCTGCTACTAAAGGGAACCTCTCAAAAAAGATGGACTGCCACTGCCGATTTCCTTCTGCAAATGCCAATTGCCAGGCTCTCAAGCTGAACATCTGCACTTGGATACATGAGTAGCATGTCTCCAAAAAGAGAAGTTTCCTGTGCAGATCAGCAAGGTAGAAGCTGACCAAGAAAGCCTGCAGGTCTATCTCAAATTCATAGAACGCTGTTTTTTTTTTAAACCAAGGTTGTAAGAACAAATTCATCAATAGAGCTATACAATAAGTGCAGTTAACACTTTCTGAGCCCATGACCTGCAGCTGGTATACAGATCAGTGATTCCGACTCACTGACATACTCGTTCTGGATCAGTGACTATAAAAACTGAAACCAGAGGATCAGTATAACAGCAAAGGCAATTTGCTTTTTAGGGAATGGTCAGCCATGGCAATCTATACATTTCTCTCATGACAGGTTTCCTTTGACTTTTGTTTTTTTTCTGTGGTTGCATTTGCAATGCTGCTTATAGTCAGCATGCTACAGTACCTGTGTGATCCAGATGATCCTCTAACCATCTCTTTGTTCCCTGATAATTAAACTTTCCTCCTCCTGATGCGAAAAACAGCAGATTGTAACTGTGCATGGGAGAAATGTTCATTTAAAAGGCAGGTGACACCAACAATCAAATCATTACAAAAAAAAACAGGGACATTATATATATATATATATATAAAAAAAGCATAGGTAAGCAATAGCAAGTCAGACAGTTCCTATGCGAGTCAAAGAATAAAAACAAAAGAAAGGCAAATTTGTGTACACACGAGCTATTTGATTCCTGCTACAGCAATTTAAGTCTGTAGGAATATTAAAGAACTGCCTCTGTGATAACCTGGCAGGTACCTCTAGGTGCCAACAAATATCCTCACTTATTTTCCAGAGCACATAGGGAGGCCTGACTTCAGAGAGGCAGTCTGCGTTTCTCCCCACCCCTCTCACATCTTACTACTAGTTAGTCATTGGGAAAGGTTGCCAAATTGACCGAGGGCCCGTTCACGCCATCCCCAGTGCGTTCCAGCACAGTTAGCTGCTGGAATGCACTAGAATGCGTACTGTCCAGCTCCATGCATTCTGGGGCGGGAAAAGTGCAGTCGTCTGCACCAGAATGCATGGCACAACAATGCCCCCAATACTGTCCAGTACGATCACAAACAATGGTGCGTGTGCCAAGCGTTCTGGTGCGGGTGGGGAGGCGTGGCTGTGGTGCCCTTCCTGCCCCAGAACGTAGGGAGCCCGACAATATGTGATCCATTGCGTTCCAGCAGCTAACCGGGCTGGAACGCACTGGAGATGGTGTGAACGTAGCCTCATAGTGAAGTGCAGGGGGCAGAATATTTGCTTAATATTGCACGCTAAACGATAGCTTAAAGGATGCCTCCTGGAACCTGGTGGTGCTTGCCATTGCATAACAAAAGCAGTTTTGGAAAATTTTTCTACTCACAAATTAATTATTATTGTCACTTATTTTGAGTTACATTGTGGAAGTGATCATTTTACAAAACATGAGAATGCACACTATCAATTAGCACAGAGTTTACAATATTAATGTCTATTCTTTTGTATGGCAAAAAGTCTACCATCATTGTCCCACACAAGAGATGAGTAACAAAAACAGTTAACATGTATAGCCCAAACTTTTTTTTTTTTTTGGGTGAGGTAGGGAAAAGAATAAAACCCGTCATAAAGTGATTGTTGTCTGTGTCCCTGCTGGGGAGATTCACCCTATATGTCTTGGTGACCAATGTCTCAATGTTATAGGAAATCAAATATTTTATAGTTGTCACCAGAACAAGAGTTGTTTGTAAATCATCCAATGTGGACACCTGTTTTGGTAACAATTGTCCAAGCGAAATTCTCCTCACTTGAGCACTCTACTAACAACATGTTGCATTTCTGAAACACAGACAGCAAAACAATATAAACTTAATCCCTCCTCAATTCCACACAAAACTTAAATAAATAAAAAAAAAATCCAACATTTGTGGCCCTACATACAAGTTAAAAAGGGAAACTGTACTTTTTTTTTTTTGCATTTACCTAAATGTAATTTGACATAAGTATCATATTTTTACATGCTTCGTATTTGGATGATAGATCACACACAGATTTATAGACTCTCCTCCCAGTGTCTGGTTTGTATCAATATGGAATGCAAATAGTATCCCTACTAGAGAACTGTTGAGATCATCCTTATCTTTCAGCCTTACTAGATCACTGGATGTGCAAGTGAGAGAAGATAACAGCAAATGGTATGTATTGTGTATACTGGATTTCATATGCTTTAGTTATATTAAAGCACAACCCACAAAGTGAGGTTGATCTACCCCACCATCTCACTTCCAAGGATTTTCAAGATTTGCACCAGGACTTCAGGTGCTTAGCAGCCAAGAGTCACGCGTGTATGTTATGCAGACACACATGGTTCACAGTTTTTAATCAAAAGCGCTTTCTGTCACCATGTTGCTGAGGACACAATGGTCTAGAGAAAAAACAGGCAACTGCACATGTCAGTACAAAGCGTGCAGGTGGAATAATCCGTCACTTGGCAGGATATGCATAGTTCTGGCATGGGTGAGGCAAACAATTGAAACCAATGTTCTCTTTGGCTACCCGTAGGCAAATATTCTTCCTCCATCTGACCACCAACATAAGGGGACCCCTTTCCTTTGACCACCAATGTAATGAAGACTACGGCACACCGTGTTGTATATTACATACTCTAGACTGCTGCCTTCGTATGCTGCATAATAAGTTCCATAGGTCAGAAACTTTGTACATGACATTAATATAGACCACTGCACTCTGTATGTCTCCGTGTACATTACATACTGTAAACCACTACAGTCGTACACAATCCTTTACTTTAGATGTTACTGAGCTGGTCACATTGTACTGCATATTACATAATCTGGGTCACTGCTCTTTTCCCATCATGCTGTAGTTTACATACTGCAGACCACTGCAAAACATGCACCATTATGTATGTTACTTACATCAGACCACTGTGTTCTGTTTGTTTGCTTTATGTTACAGTCAAGACCACTGCATTCTATACACTGTGCTGCATATACCATACTCTGGGCCACTGCATCCTGTACACTGTGCTATACACTTCATGCCCTGAGCAGCTGCACTGTGTACAATGTGTGTAACATTCCTCAGACAGCTGAATTCCAAAAAGGTATTTGTATCACTGCAACTTGATACGCGTGTGGCTAAGGCCCCGTTTTATTCATGCCCAGTCAGAAAGACAAAAGTTGTAGTGCTGGTATAACAAGGTCAAGATTTCTAGGTTTGGGCATCTAACCTGGCATGTGTTCGCTTGTAGGTGTAGAGTCGAGAGAAGAGACGTGCCAGCTCCAGAAGGACAGCCATCCCGCTTCCATTGGAATCGGCACCATATGACAGCCACTGAATAGAATAACAAAAGTTATCAATGTCCAAAGCGTAATTCTGTTATGAAAAATACTTACAACTATATTTCTAAAGTGCTCACAAGTGTGCTATCATAGCCACAAACCTCACTTTAAAAGGACAAGTACACTTTAAGACAACATGCACTTATCCTTGTTGCCCCCTTTGTCCTGATCCAACCAAGCACCACCTTCCCCCTTAACATCCATACTTACCTCAATCTGGCAGCCACAGCCTTCAGTGATTGTTAAAATCCAGTGATGCAAGTCTCGCTGTTCTGGCAGTATCTGCACATTACAGCCCCATAGACCTCTATAGGGCTGTGTCCTGAGGCAGAGATGAAGGGAGAAGGCCCCATAGAAGTCTATGAGGCTGTAATGTGCAGGTATGGCCGGATGCAAACAAACACCAGAGGCGGTGGGCTGCTGGATCAAGGTAAGCATGTATCTATAGAGGGAGAGGATGGGTTCAGTTAGGTCAGGGCAAAAAGGATAATAAAAGTGTACTTTGTCTTATAGTGCACTTATTCTTAATTGTTTTGTGCTTCACCCAAGCTGAATTCCATTTACACAAGCCTGTAAAAACTACAAGTAAAATATAGTTCACATACAGAATGCCTTGTACACTACATTAGTATGCACAGGTGTATGAGAATTACCGGAGCAACTCCAAAGGAGTCATAGTGAGCAACAATGGCAATGGTAGGAAGGTCTTCGGAGCCAAGACCAGTCAAACGTCCCTGCATAAAGAAAAGATAAATACACATGTTCGATTAATCAGTATTAATAGATAAATAGGGGTTTACAATCCAGAGTATCTAACCAAGTTACACTGCCATGTGGGGTGGGCATTGTTAATTGCATGCCCAATGCCTATAAAGCAATCTGCCCACCACTTACTATATAAAAAGAAAAACAAAAATACACAGCACAGTCACAATGTTTCATTCCTAAGACCTATGACCAGATCATACCACAAAGCAAAGTAATAACAGTCCTTCCCCAGGTATGGGAGGAATGTGAGAATATCAGGTAAAATGCACAAGCAGTGGTTACATTGCCAGGTCAGTTGCTTGCCGTAGCAGGCTCTGCTGGTATAGAAAGCAACAAGCAGCTCCTGGAAGCATCTCCTCATTACGTAAGGCAGAACCCACAGGGCTGTGTGCATCGAAAGGCTTAAGTGGTGCCTGCGTTTATATTTTTTGTGCATCTACATAAGTATTTAGTCAAACTTAGATTCAGATTGTGTGCTTAGTTGGAAGAGGAAGCCCCCTAAACAAAGCCGCCAGCATGCTACTTCAGATATGATGACTTCTGAACTAAATTGTTACTGTATATGCAAGCCCTGCAAACACAGTTTGGAGGTTTGCTTATTCCACCGCACACACAATTTTGCTTCCATTCTCCCTGGCCACCTCTTCCTCACATCAGCGGCTCCTCCCCTGGCCATGTCCCCACCAGCCACCTCTAGTCAGTCCATTCCTCTCTGATACATACAGCAGCTGTCTCCAGTTTATAGTAGGGCTGCAACAACTAATCGACATAATCGATTATAATCGATTATTGAAAAAGTTGTCAACTTTTGGCCCTGTTCACAGCTCCACGCGCTGTGCGCCGTACGTCCTCCCCACCTCACGCTCGCCGCTGCCAGACCCGCCCGCATCCATGCTCCACACGCCGCACACTCACCGCCCACCCACATCCACGATCGGCACAGGGACGCGGGGAGATGTAGTAAGGAGGAGCAGGTGTGGGGGGGATGACAGCCGCCGATAGAAAGGCCCGATCTCAGAAGCAACTTGCTGGATGCCTGCTCAGGTAAGCCTGCACTTTCCCACACATGGTGCTCTATAATGTATTGCTGGGATTTGTATTCCTCTATAGCTGATGGTACATTGTGCTGTATATTATACAGAGGACTACAAATCCCAGCAATACATTATACACTGTATGTATAATGTATTGCTGGGATTTGTTGTACTCCTCTATAGCTGGTGATATTCTGCATTGCGCTGTATAGAGGACTACAAATCCCAGCAATAATACATTATACAGTGGTGCAATGCTGAATACCACCAGCAATAGTACATTATACAGCGCAATGCAGAATGCCTCCAGCTATTATGTACTATTGCTGGGATTTGTTGTATTCCTCTATAGCTGGTGGTATTCTGCATTCATTGCTGTATAATTTTACACTTTTCATTTCACTATATTGCACACCACACTATCTTTCTTTTTTACTTCCACCGCTCCAAGCTTGCTCCTGTGATGGACTACAACCTCAATACAAACTAGTAGTCCCATCACTGGAGCCTTTTTTTAAACTTTATTTTATTGTTTATCCGATTAACCGATTAATCGAACCTAATAATCGGCTAACTAATCGATTTTGAAAATAATCGTTAGCTGCAGCTCTAGTTTATAGAATACAATACTAAAAATAAAAACACTTTATCTCCATTTATATTCATATTTTGGTGTATTTTATATGAGCCATTTTACACAATAAGAAAAGCCCAAACTCAAGCATAAACCTAGTCTAGACCTTTTGTCTTTTTTTTATTATTATTAATTTATTAAGCAAACTCTAACGATAAAAAAAAAAAAAGGGAAGGACACCAACTAATATGCAAAAACAGCACAAGGAAAAAAGACACCTGGCGCCAGAGTGTAACAAATATACAAAAAAAAAACACAAACAAGAATCCCCAGCACACCTGCCAGCTACCCTGCAACAAAACAAATTGCCCTGTCAACAGTATGCGTTAAAATCAGAAGTTTTAGTTGCACAAACCTTTGGACAAAAATATGTAGAAGCCACACCGCCCCGTCAAGGCAACTCTGTAAAGTGTAGTCCTAACTCTATTTATATGAGTCTCCAAGTGGGTGCCTATCAATGCAGTCGATAAATTAAATGCAGGTGTACCAGCTCCTGCTACCAAGGCTGGTTATAAATGTATGTGGTTACCATCTTTTTCTAGAGTGTAACAAATAGACACACCTGGCACTAGAGCTTCAGGATCTGCACTGAACAGTGAAGGTACGTGACTGGACACCATAAAATATGATTTGTTTTACATATTTATCTGTGGAATGACTACAAGTGGACAGTGTAAAGTACCGTGGTCCTATTTTAACTTTAGTTGTCCTCCTGGAAATAGTAAGGCCCCTATCCCATGGGCTGATCAGGAGGGGATTGCTGCATGGATCCCCTCCTGATTAGAGCAGTACAGATCAGATGTCACCGCTGTGACACCCGTGTCCGTCCAGGTTTTTCCTCCATTGGAAGATGGAGGAGAAAAAAATGAAATGGCCGGACCCTATGTCTGTCTACGGGGATTCAGATGTAAATGGACATGTGTCCGTTTACATCAGATTACCCCTGATTCAGCACTATCAAGTCTGGCAAAATGGATATCAGTTCCGTTTGTTTTTCTGGACCTGCCTGGAGTTGGAAGAAACAGGGTGTAAACAGGCGCCTGTCCATTTACACACAGCTGCCCATAGACCAACAGTGGGCATCCGATTGGGTCTGCCTGAAAAACCTGACAGGACCGCCCGTCTGAAAGGGGCCTAATAGTCTGGTCCTTTTTTTCTGTTAAAATTTGTTAAACAGAACAAATGTTTTCATTTTTTTGCTTAGCAATGTGTCTTTCAGCTACCTATATAGTCATATGTAGGTTGCAATGTGCTGGCTCCTAGTTCTAGGTGAGATTTGTCAATAACTGTATTAATAAGTGTCAGAAACATGTCAAACTGAGGTTAGCAATGGCAGCCTCCTTATGGCAGGTGCTGTACTCTTAACTATACCTTTAAAATCTTAAATTGGCCCAGAGTCAACTTTTTTAACCCCCCTATTTATCGGTTATTGAGATGGGGCACCCGACGTATTAGTGCACTAACAGGCAGCCTTGGGAAGTTGGAGACTGGACAATGTTGCCCAGGTCTGTGGCAGGCTAACTTCAACATGACAGCTCCAAGACCCCAGTGAATATTTTATACACATCAGTAAAATATGAAATTATACATTGTTCTGCAACGTAAAGGATGTATCAGAAACGCAGTTTTAATACCTTCAATGCAAGCTTACCTCCACACTGGTTACAAGCCAATCACTAACAGCCTTACTCTGGGATCCACTAGTAACCATCTGGAAACCATTGGCAGTGGCAGTATGAAGAAGTACTGTATGGGCAGAAATTGTACATGATGTGATCTGCATTTGATATTCCGTCTGTTTATCCCTTATAAAAATTTTTACATTAAAACCAAATCTTAAAATAGTGTTACCTTCAGCAGCAGAAGAGGTGCCCTGATTTGCAGACGCTGCAAGAGTCTGTTCATATATGGATATAAGCTCTGCATCCTCCACTGCAAAGTATACTGGTACTTGAGTCTCCATAGAAAGCATCTCTGGCTCTATATCCATGAATTGCTGCAAAATAATGAGAACATGAATGACATTACTAGCATGAATTGCCCCATGCATCAAATTCTACATAACAAAACTACATCCACAACAGACTATGTCCGTGTTATATTTGTAAGAGAGATGCCCTTCCAACTCACAAGATTTCAGCAAAGATATCAGTAAAAAGAAAAATATATAGTTTATCATTTCAGATCTGCTGCTGAAATTGAAGCTGACTCGCTGTGGTTTTGGTCCAATGGCTCCAATACTGTCCTGCAACAAGTATACAGATCATGACTTAACCTCCTGCATGTGAATTCTAGCTCAGCAACCTAAATGTATTGAAGCAAGAAGCATCCAGGCAACCAGCAATGTCACAACAAAATCAGCAAATGGCAACCAACATTTATTTTCAGTATAGGTTCGACATGGAGACTGATGAGCATTCTCTCACCTGCACTATATCTTGTGGCAGGGCTGCCATTTCATGAGGCAGGATTATGACCACTGCACCCGCTGACTGACGAAGTGCTTTCTGATACTGCTGATAGGAGAAGTCTGCTAAGCGCATAAGCACACATCGCCGACTCAGAAGGTCTGCCTCTACTGTACGAGCCTCTGTGTTCAGTACAGAACTGCGAGTACCTGCACAAAGAAAAAGCACATACAAATTAACATATGACGCTTTATCATAAAGAAAACGGACAAATGATCAAACAGGAAATGTGATTAAACATTTATTTTATTCATGTTAACATTACCTCATTTTAAAACAAAATCCTATGTGAAGCGTGTTACATATTACAGAGAATACTGTACAGGCAGCCATGACTTTTAGAATCACAAAGGTCAGGCCAGTTTATTAGGATGGTCATTCATGAAGGTTTGGAATGATGTTATCCAGTATTTAGTACCCAGCAAGGATCTCATCAGAAAGCAGTACACAACAACAGCACTGGAAATGTCCAAAGCTTTTGAGTTTTCTTGGCTACCACTGACTGTGAAAGGAAACCTATTATGAGGAAAATATGGATGCTGTAAATGTTTTTTCTCCTTTGGAAAACCCTACATTTTCTAAAATCTGCATGAATATATTCCAGACCTGTCACAATATATAGCAGGAGAATAACTGCTCAAAATTTTTTATTATGCTGCCCTTAAAGGATTATCAAAACCTCAGCGGTTTTTGCATACATCTACTGCTAGCAAACAGTAGATATATGCAAAAACCTAAAAAAAAACCTTACGAAACAGGTTTAAACTTACCTGTGTCTTTGCCGCGCGCTCCCGTCCGAACATCTGAAGAATCTCGGGCAGCCGCAAAGCATCTTGGGGCGGGCGCATGGGCAGTTCAGATGTTCGGCCGGGAGACGAGGAGAGACACAAGGCAAGTCTATGGAGCAGCGTGCACCCTCCGTGGGACATCAGAGAAGAGGATAGAGAAGTCAGTGCTGGATCGGAGACCCACACCCAGCACTGGAGGGACAACTGAAAACTACAGGAAAGATCGTATAAAGAGGCATCATTTAAGGTAAGTCCTTACGTTAGCATTGGGGGGGACTTTTGACATTAAGGTCACTTTAAGCTCCCATTAAGAGTCTTTTCCTAGACTGATATGAGGTAATCAGTCTGCTGCAGCCATGAGGATAGATTTCCTCTCTGTCTCCCCTCCCCAAGTAAACAGATTGCAATATTGTAACTTCATTGCAGTCAAAAAGCAGTACACGCACTACTTTTTTTTCCCACCACAAGGTATTGCACTGCTGGTGTTGTGCTGCTGCACATGTCTGCCTGGAGGGGAATTGGGGTGCCAACTTAGTTATGAACAGGCCCTTATTGTTTCCCCACAGGAAAAAGGTCAACCAGGATGACCTTAAGGTCCCGAGTGACCTCTCCCACAGATATAAATGTAACAATCTGAGCACATGTTCAAATTCTACATTTCATTCCTAAATGAAACTGTAATCATTTGTCGGGGTAGGCAACCTCGGCACTCCAGTTATGAAGAAATTGCAAATCCCATCATACCTGTGGCTGTCAGAGTTTTGCAATGCCTCATGGGACTTTAAGATCTTGGGGCATAGACAAAAAACAAACAGGACAAAAGACACATTTTTGACGAGGGAAGGTTAAAGCCTATTTTTAGATAGACTATAAAAGGGCTCCCCCACAGTGCAAGGGTTACTTGCTCGTACATGTCTATGTAGGGGAGCTGTGTAAAGGACTTTTGCTTACTTGATCCCCACTTTCCCAATTGGCACTCAGCTGGTCTCCCCTGCGCTCTGGCTTGTGTCCCTGCGACATCGGGAGGCCTTTGACTGCAGGGAAAAGGGAGAAGCTGCGGATGTCAGCTGCAGAGTTTGCATGTTCTCCCTGTGCTTGCGTAGTTTTCCTCCTACACGCCAAAGACATGCCGGTAGGTTAATTGACTCCTGTCTAAATTGGCCTTCCTATGTATACATGTGAGATAGGGACCTTAGATTGTAAGCTCCTTGAGGGCAGGAACTGATGTGAATGTGCACTATGTAAATTGTCAGCGCTATACAAGTACCTGTAATAAATAAATGTCAGTCATGGTGCCTGCAGGAGCCCCCATACACAAAAACAAGAAGTAAACCCTTGCATTGCAGGGTTGGCTCCAGTGCAAGGAGACCATATGTTTTTAGATTGGCAGACGTATTAACACATTTTTTTTTTTTAAATTCCTCACCACACGTTTATGTCCCAGTACAGGAATCACAGGAACAGGAAGTGATAGAAAATCTCACTACTGGGGTCACAGACACATAACACAAAATGTAATTGTTTCACATTCTATCTAAAACAACCCTGTGTGGAGTTAAGCTTTATGTCCTGTACAATAATATGAATGAATACGTGCTGAGGTAGGGCTTCCTAGGCTCTTAGATGCCAACGAAGGCCCATCAGCTGTCACTGACCGTAGCTTTGTCCCTGCAGGTCGTATTGCTGCATGCGGTACACGGTGAACTCATGAGCAGCATCGGCCTGCAGCGGGGACACGAGGAGCAGCACGGCAGGGATGAAGACGATGAAGGTAAGCGGGAATGACGCCTTTAGCATATTATCAAACACCTCTCCTGCTTCCTCCAACATGCTGCCGGTCTAAGGAAGAGCTGCCAAGGGTAATGTGAGGGGGAGGTCTGGTGGGACACTCGCAGGAACGTCCGGGAATCAAAGCAATGGCGAAACCGCAATGCCTACAGCTTCCTCAGCAGCTGGGGACCAGCAGGCACTGCAAGGACAGCTAACAGAGAAGGCCCACGAACCCAGGCAACGCACCAATCAAAGGCCGCGCAGGCAGCGAACGGGCACCTAAAGGCTGGGTCCTAACTACTCGCCTAGCGTGTCATTGCTGGAGGTGACGTGTGGGAGGAGCGTGCACAGGGGGAGGGGGAGCTGTCATTCGCCATGCTAGGGCAGAGCTCGGGTGCCGAGTGCAGTGTGGCTGCGAGTCTTAGCTATCTATGGCTGATTCCGGGGTTGGCCAAGGTTTTGTGTCTGCAGATTGCATATAATTTTACACTTCAATCCCAATAGAAAATATTTGAACGTTTTCTATTTTAGTCTGTAGTTACTGTAAAAAAAAAATTGTAATCATTTGTCAAGGGCAGGCAAGCTCGGTACTCCAGCTGTGGAGAAACTACAAATTCCATCTTGCCTTTGCCTCTGGGAGTACTGTATGTGGCTGTCAGAATCTTGCAAAGCCTTATGGGGTTTGTAGTTTCACAACAGCTGGAGTGCCATGGTTGCCCATCCCTGGTCTATGTATTCAGAGCAATGTCTGGTTACCATTTAAAGCAGAACGCTAGGCAGATATAAAAGGAATACATTAATGCAGCTCTGTGCTCATTAATGCGTCATTAAATGTATTGTTTCAAAGGAGAAGTATTGGGAGAGTAAAACATACTCTTCCTAATACAAGGGCTGAAATCACACGTGGCTTGGATGTGCGTTCTGGGATTCCTGCTGCATGAACCTACGGATTCTTATGGGATAGATGACTATGCCTGATCGCATTTATTCTGTGTCCAGGGACAATCATCTACCCTGAAACACATGTAACCTTGCCATGTACAATTACATGCAGAGTACTGCTGACAGATGTGACCGCTGTAAGCTTGTCATTAACTTGAATTGGATTCCTATGGCAAGAATCTGTAGGTTCTTGCTGCAGGGATCCCAGAACACACATACAAGCCCCATGTGAATGTAGCCTTAGAGCAGGCTGGGGACACTGCAGCTGCCATACGCTGGCTCCATACTGAGAGCTGAGAGATAATGTAACCGCTGATTGGTGAGCACTGCACAGGACAGTGACTGTCAGTCAGGGATTTCCCCCTCCCCTCGCTCTGATGCTCCAGCCCTCATTGGAGGGATTGACAGGGGTGGGGGTAGGCACAGCTAGCTCTGCCTCTAGAGAGGCAGAGCCAGCTGTGAATCAGGCAACAGGGTGGATCCCAACAATATTGTCAGGATCCACCCCACTGCCTGATCGAGAGGTGAGCGAACGCCGGTATGTGTTCCCTCACCTCCCGATCTACTGAGCCGACCTGTGACAGTCTCATTGTCACAGGTCGGCTTAGAACAATGAGGTGAGTGGAAATCACTCATCTCATAGTTCTCCTTTAATCTTAGTTATGGTTAGATACGGACTATTCATGTATATTGGCTGCAGTTCTACTTTAACTCTTTCCATGTTGGACTTTTGTTCATATGCACATTGGTGTCAAAGTAAACCCCAAATCAATGGTGTCAGTGAATGTAAAATAATTCCAAAATCATTGGTGTCAGAGATGCTAAAATAAAGTCCAAAAATATATCACCAATGATTTGAGGTTTATTTTACTCCCCCTGACACCAATTTTTGGGGGTTTATTGCACTTTCACTATGCTCCAAGATGGAGACTCTCATAGGTTAGAGTTAGGACCGCACTATTTAGAGGTGCCTTGACGCGGCTGTGCGGCTTTCACATATCCTGAAGAAGACATGCAACTAAAACCTCTGTTTCTAACCTTAGCGGTTAGACAGGTTTTTTTTGCAGGCTGGCTGGTGAGTGTGCTGGGAAAATTTTTGCTGTTGTATTTTACTTTTTTGATTTGGGGTTTATTTTACTTCCGCTGAAACCAGTTATTTGGAGTTTATTTTACTCCTGCTGACAAAGTGGCGACACCCAGGGCAAAGACTCAGACATATAGTTCAGTAGCAAGGAACGTAGAGCTCAGTAGTAAAGAGCGCACTGTTCAGTAGTAAAGAACGCAGCGCATGGTAGTAAAGAATGCAGAAACTTGGTAGGAAAGATCACAGAGCATGGTAGGAAAGAACGCAGAGCACGGTACTAAAGCATGCAGAGCGCGGTACTAAAACTTGCAGAGCACGGTAGTAAAGAATGCAGAGCACGGTATTAAAGAACACAGAGCACGGTACTAAACAGCAGAAAGCAAGGTACTAAATAATGCAAAGCATGGTACTAAAGAACACAGCACAGTAGTAAAGAACCCAGAGCACGGTAGTAAAGAACGCAGAGCACGGTACTAAATAACCCAGAACAAGGTACTAAAGAATGCAAAGCATGGTACTAAAGAACGCAGAGCACGGTAGTAAATAACCCAGAGCACAGTACTAAATAACCCAGAGCACGGTAGTAAAGAACGCAGAGCACGGTATTAACGCAGAGCACGATACTAAAGGATGCAGAGCACGGTACTAAAGAGCACAGAGCAGGGTACTAAAAAATGCAGAGCACCGTACTAAAGAGCGCAGAGCACGGTAGTAAAGAACACAGAGCACGGTACTAAATAACCCAGAGCACGGTAGTAAAGAATGCAGAGCACGGTATTAAAGACTACAGAATGGGGTACTAAATAATGCAAAGCACGCTACTAAAGAATGCAGAGCTCAGTATTAACGCAGAGCACAGTACTAAAGAGCACAGAGCAGTGTACTAAAGAACGCAGAGCACGGTACTAAAAAACGCACAGCACGGTATTAAAGAACGCAGTGCACGGTAGTAAAGAACACAGAGCATGGTACTAAATAACCCAGAACATGGCAGTAAAGAACGCAGAGCATGGTATTAAAGACTACAGAGTGGGGTACTAAATAATGCAGGGCACGCTACTAAAGAACACAGAGCACGGTATTAACGCAGAGCACGATACTAACGCAGAGCACGATACTAACGCAGAGCACGGTATTAACGCAAAGCACGATACTAAAGAACGCAGAGCACGGTATTAACGCAGAGCCCGATACTAAAGAACGCAGAGCATGGTACTAAAGAGCACAGAGCAGGGTACTAAAAATGCAGAGCACGATACTAAAGAACACAGAGAACAGTACTAAACAGCACAGAGCAAGGTACTAAAGAATGCAAAGCATGGTACTAAAGAACGCACAGCACGTTAGTAAAGAACACAGAGTGGGGTACTAAATAATGCAAAGCACGCTACTAAAGAACGCAGAGCACGGTATTAACGCAGAGCACGGTACTAAAGAACGCAGAGCACGGTACTAAAGAACAATACTTCTACACAACACTGGGCACCTGGAACATTATATAAAGACAAAATCCATACAATCTTCAGCTTGCCAATATTTATTTCTATCAAGAAAATATTTTTCTCTCCTCTGTTATTCTGTCTTTTATTTAAATACAATTTACTGTAAAATATATTTAACTCACCACTTTGAGGCAGTCACAGGTCAGTGTGCATCCCATGGGTTCACTTCCGGTGGGTGGTGGGATCCACAAACTCCCTGCGCACCAGCCCTTCATCATCCTCCGGCTCTAGCTCCTGCTTGCCTCCCTCTGATTTCAGTGCTGCCGCTGGCTGCTGCGGGGGCGGCTGCATGAGGGGAGAGGGCTCTCTCCTTCTCTGCTGAGACCTGGGGTTTGTTTTACTCCTGCAGATCTCAGTGATTTGGGGTTTCTTTTTCTTATGCTTACAGTCAGGAAACGGCTAGAGAGCAGGTACAATCGCTACATTCACTGGGAGACATTGATTGCCACTCTGTTAATTGTTTTAAGCTGGTTACCTTGTATATAATTGGTGACACCTAAAGTTGCCCACACACCTTGCGATAATCATACAATAATCGCGGGAAATCCCGCGATCGTACGATTATCGTAAGGTGTGTGGAAGCCATGCGACCTCTACTACTGTAAGGTCGAACGACTTTTATCTTACAAACATGTTCGAAAACCCGCCGAGAATCGTACGATTTTCGGCGGGTGTGTAGCATGTTCGTAAGTTAAAAGCCAGACCGGCCCGTGTGCGCAAGCGCACACTGCCCGTTCGGCATTGTGGTCATCGGAAGTCCGCCCCTCAGCGGGGCGGGCTTGCGATCATCGCAAGTACGATCTGCCTGTCCAAGATAGGCAGATTGTACGTTTCAACAAAAAGACCAATACCGGCGCCTCCGGCTGCATGACGGGCCAGGTGTAACGATGAAAGGAACACAACAGAGGCAGCTCCCACCGGTCAAATAGACCATCGATCTGGGAAACAAAGGACAAGACAGAGCGCCTCCATCGTGTAAAAGCGTAATTTATTGGTACGACACACACAACTGAAATTGTACTTACAAAAAGTCGGTGGTTAAAAGCATGTAAAAGTCGATGAAACTTGAAATCTCTAGCAGCGGGAGTCTAAAGGGATGTATCACATCAGCGTCCTCTGCCCCTGTGAGTTCAAAAGGTCTACGCGTTTCAGGGGCATGCCCCCTTCATCAGAACCTAAGGGAACTCTCCTATATCCTGCTCTTTTAAATTTAAAAGTGACCAATCACAAAAGTTTGTCAAAGAAGATCACATGGAAGTGTTAAGCCAATCGCCGGTATTTCAGATTTTAACTGACACTCGTCTGACAGACAACCCACTGAAAGTATTAAGTTAGATCATTGGCATTATTGGTTAGAAAATGATTATCTAAAAATTCTACAACAAAAAACCCATAAAAGATAATAGATATAAAAGAAAGTAATAATAATGAAGATCAGAGGGTGGGATAGCATACTCCTCTGGATCTAATAAAAAGCAGCTCTTGTGATCGCAGGCTAATGTCGAAACTTGCTAGCAGCTGTGCATTTAGTAGACATTTAAAGTTAGTTACATAGTTGCACAGAGTTACATAAAATATGTAAGAATTAACATTGAAACAAGTCAAAAGCAACAACTCGCATTCATGTACTCGCATTCTTGTGCTCAACGTGTAAATAGCACTGTTGCCGGTTTTTGCTATTTACACGTTGAGCACATTACATCACTAATGTCCAAGAGGACCAGAGGTGGAAAAACAATAATTGTAAGTCAAAGAAAAATGTATTA